TTGGGAAAAAAACTTAAGTTATTTTGCAAGTTTATACATGTCTGTTTTTATAAAATAAATATTTACGAGGAGCAGTATATTAAATCATTTTTATCTGATAATTTAGAAGTATCATATAAAGATTTTTTTATAAACAAATAATTCTTTTATAAATAGAATAATCACCCTTATTTTGTTTTGCGTATCTGGGCTTTTTAATATGTGATATTAAATAGAACAGCCTCAACTTCACTTTCATGCTCCAAAAAAAATAGAATATGAATTAAAACCAACATATATTGATATATATATATATATATATGTCAGTTCTATAAAACTGTTTTTTCTTTGACAAAGTTATGGGCTTAATTAATGAGTAAAGATTTTCTTCTTCCTATGAAATGCAAATCAAACGAATCATTGTAGAGATTCCCCTCTTCCCTCCTGTTCACTATCCAATCTGCTAATATTATATTCTAATATATTACTCTTGAAAATTCTCCTCTCTCCTACTACTGTTGTGCCTGGTTGAAAACCTTAGTATCTTCTCTAAAATTCCTAGTATATTTAAAATACACAATTGCTCATGTTGTTCTTCTGTTAATATCTCTTATTGACTTATTAACATTCAATGTCCCTCCCTAGCATGGTGTGTGAGCGCCTTATGACCATGGTCTTGTTGATTTCTTGAGCCTTGTCTCCCATAATGCTCTGCTGTACACATTACATAGATGACCTTGCTCATTTGGTTCAACTAATAAGCCCTCAGGGTTCTCCTTGAATCACTGTGCTTCTGTGGTGTGCTGGTTACTCCTCTGTGTCATAGAACATTTCACATTGTATTTTAGCCAGTGGGCCTATATTTTGTGGTGTATGGCATCTAGTAGGTGCTCAATAAATTACCAGTGCATTAAAATCAGCTGAAAAAAAGAGTGCTCTCCAGGGAACATTAGTTTGAAAGTTTTACCCAAACATTGTTTATGTGACTGTTACTTATTTTCTTTCTTCCATTACAAAACAACTAATCACTAAGTCTCCTCAGAGGTATGCAGCCAGACATCACTCTGAGACCTTTGGTACTGTAGGTCCTTCAACAACCAATTTCTCATTAAATATTCAGTGTTCATACAGGGGAAAAAGAGAATTTCCTGACATGTTAGAAAAGAGTGGCTAGTTAAAATGGGTTGGCACTCTTGATTTGTGGAGGTATGGGTTTCTGAGATTAATTGCATTTGGAGCATAGACATTGCTCCCTAGCCAAGGGAATCCTTTTTAAAGATTAAGAGTGCTTAACTAAGCACAAATTAGAGAAAATAAAATCAATTTTTGTCATTAATCACTACATCCTCCCCCACCCCTTAATGTAATGGAAAAAACAAATTAAAAAATAGGAGATTCTCAATTCACATTCAATCAATTGGAAACATCATTGTATTTATAATTTAAAAATTGAAAACACTGAAAAAACCCATGTATCTAAAATCTGCATTAGTAAACAAACCATAATGCCCTTGAATGCAGCATTATGTATAGGAGAAGGGTAAATGGTACTCAACCTAAGGAGAAACACTTTCTATACTAGAAAGAAGAGCTCTCCATTTCTGAGCACCTACTCTGTGCCAGGTTCTGTGCTAGGTACCTCCTCAGTCCTATAATGAGCTGAGGAGTGCTGCACAAGTCACTCAATCTCTGCCTTTCTTCACCTTATGGAAAGGAAGGATCCTGAGTCTGTGTTCTGGGAAGAAAAGGAATCAACTACCATCCTCTCACCTCCCACCCACAGTGGCTGCCCATGTCAAGTTGTTGGCTTGCTAGAACAATTCCACTTACATATAAATTCCCATTATGGCTCTCCAAAGGAGAGTCAACCCATACTTACACTGAGGGGAAGTAGGAGAAGAGAGAAATTTGGGAAGAATTGAGCATTGGTAGAGGAAGTTATCAAGGGTCTATTCACCACTGGACTGACTCTTTTTTGGTTTTCCTGAGGAAACCAACACCAAGATTTTAGGACCTGACCTACTGGGGCCTACAGGGAGCAAGGTGGTAGCACCTAGAATTATTATTGCAGTTGCACCAGCCCCGGATCAGAGAATGCTCCAGACTGCCTTGATTGAAGCGCCAGTCTTCAGTCTTTGTCTTATATCTAATCAAGAGGAAAAGCTTTAATTTTTTATCACTGAGATAAATGGAATAGAACTGAGATAGATTAATGGAATAGGACTGATAGTCCAGAAATGAACCACGCATATATGGACAATTAATTTAGAACCAAGGAGCCAGTAGCATACTTTGGAAAAAGGAAAGCCTCTTCAACAAATACTGGATGGCCACATGGACAAGAATCTAAACCATTGTCTCATGCCATACATAAAAATTAACTCAAAAGTTAAAGGGATTACAGACTTAGATGTAAGACTCAAAACCATAAGACACATCATATATATATTTTTTCTATGACACTGGTTTCAGGGATACCTTTGGATGCTCAACTCCCAACAACAAGGGAAACAAAAGCAAAAATAGACAAATGGGACTATATCAAATGAAAAGCTCCACAATGAAAGAAACCATCATCAAAGTGAAAAGACAGCCTACTGAATGGGAGAAAATATTTATTTGCACATGATAGATCTGACATACCCAAGATGCATAAAAACCTCATTAAACTCAATAATAAGCAAACCAATCAAAAAATGGACAAACTAAACAAACTTCTAGAGAAGATATACAGATTTCCAACAGTCGCATGAAAAGAAATGTTTGTCATCCCTCCATCATCACTTATTATTAGAGGAATGCAAGTCAAAATCAATGATATAACACCTCATACCTGTGAGAATGACTTATATATTAAAAAAAAAGAAATAAAAAGTATCGATGAATGTGTGGAGAAAAGAAACTATTATACACTGTTGGTGGGAATGTAAACTGGTGCAACCTCTATGGAAACATTATTCAGGCTCCAGCAAAAATAAAAAATATTTTAATTATAATATCTACCATATGTTCCAGCAATTCTACTTCTAGGTAAGTCTCTGAAGAATATTAAAAACTCTGATACAGAGTGATACATGCACAACTATGTTTATTGTAGTACTGTTTACAATAGGCAAGATATGGAGACAACCCAACTACTCAATGATGGATGATGGGATAAAGAAGATGTGGTATATACGCACAATGGAATACTATGCTCAGCTATTTGAAAAAAAAAGATGAAATCTTACCATTTTCAACAATATAGATGAAACTGGCATAGATTTTGCTTAGTGATATAAGTCAGAAGGAGAAATAGCAGATTTCACTAATATGAGGAATATTAAAAAGCAAAACAAAGGAACAAACAAAACCAAACCCAAACAAAATCTTGGATCCTTATTGTAGAACTGAGGTTAACAGGGGATGAGGGGGTGATAAAAGGAAAGGGTGGAGGGGGTCCAGTGGACTGTGGTGGTATTTTGGTGGCTGGCATTGTTTGGGGATCTGTACTCCTAAGATATGTACAGTCTTGTAAACCACAGTTACCTGTATTTTTAAAGTCATTTTGTTAAAAGACCTAAAGATAGCTTAGATGGAAGGTTAATACTATGAGAAGTAAGATTGGACTCTAAGGATCTCTTATATTTCTCCAAACATCTAGATTTATTTGTTTCTCTGCAATGTCTCAGAGATACAACTTTTCTTAAAGCCTTTTTTATTTCCTATCTCATTGTAACAACGTCCAGTTACTCAAACTATAACTAACATTTTTTTTTGATTAACAAATAAGCATACTTGTCCCTGCAAGAAAGATTTTATGAACAAGGGTGAATATAAAGTATATTTCACTAGATTTTAATATTATTTATTAGTTTATTTCATAATTATGGGTATAATACATTTTGTATTAATTCATTTTCTCATCGTGTTACAAACATCCCCTTCTGGTTTACAAGTGTGATATAGTAGTTATTTCTATGAACAAACTGTAAACTATTCTGGAAACACCCCTTTCTATTTTATTAGGCAAGAAAGCAAGACCAGGGCCTCCCCGGTGGCGCAGCGGTTGAGCGCTGGGTTGCAAAGCTGCCCACAGCCTCTGCAGCGCCGGTTCAATCAGACCCGGTTCGATCCCTGGCCACCGGGTGAGGGTCCCACGTGGCGTGCAGACCTCTCCTGCCGCCCACTGCTCCCCTCAGCAGTGTACTTTGTCAGTCTGCCTGCTCTTCTCTCCCCTTTGGCTCTGGTGAATTCTCTCACCCTCCCCCACTTCTGACTGTTCCCAGTGCTTATATAAATAAAAATAAAAAAGCAAGCAAGACCATCTGCATAGACTTGCAGTCTGTGGGACAGCTATGCAAAAGCTACTGCCTGCAGGTAAAGCCAGTCTTTTCACACACACACACACACACACACACACACACACACACACACACACACACACACACACACCAATGACCAAGCAGTCAGATAAAGAAGATTTAAATATTGGGTACCCAGAGTTTGCATGTCCATAGTCCACTCTGGAAAAACAGAGATTCAATTCTTATAATTAAATTCTTAAATTAAATTCTTGCCTTCCTCTACATATAGATAGCATCATTTTATCATTAGATCAAACAACATAGAACCAGAAGCCACCCTATGAGGAATAATTATACTTTTAATGCCAATGGCTCACTATTCCTACCTATATATGTATAAACTAAATTCAAACTTGTATTTGTTGGAATAGTTCTCCCAGAGTGAAATCTGTCTGACCACTTTCCACTTTAATTAGCTAATAAACTCCTTATTATATCTTTATAACTATCAATGAAATTTTATTTCCAGTTAGCACTTATATATAAATTTTCTTTTGTTGGAGAATACAGTATATACTCTTGGAAAGGATTTTCTATTTTTGCTTAAACTCGAAGTCTCGAGAAGAATATAAGCAGCTCAAATTTATTGAAATCAGTAGTCAGAAATTTTTTTTTCCTGGTTTGTTTTATCTTGGCTTTAACTAATAATACAAAATGATAAAGCCTGACATAAGGTACATTTTCTGATATTCTCTACTGATAAATTTAAACCCTTTTATTTCATTCAGGTAAATTAGCAATTACATTTTGTAGCTGCAAATAAAAGATGTGCCATATGTGAAACCTATGTCTTCTTAAATTATTTGTATCAAAATGTTCTTTTACCTTCCTCTTACCTAACACTAGTCTAAATCCTCGAGTTCTACTGTATGTGTTTGTTACTTTGTAATGTAATTTTGCAAGATTTGCTTTATTTTCTTGCCAGGATAATACTGAAGGCCTGTTGAATGCTGATACCAGCTTATGGAATCAATCTTTATGAATGAAGGGAAGATAACTGAGAGATTGTACCAATTTTCTAATAATTCAAGAAACTAAATAAGGGATAGGAATTAATATTTTATTTTCAAAAGCAATTCAAATTGAGATGTCTGGCACTGGGCAGATTACCACAGAAATGCACAAACATTGAGAACTTGGGTACATGGCTTCGAAACCACATGAGGCATAAACCCCACAAATGATCTTAAAATGTCATCTTGTCACTTGGATATTTGAAAAGGCCAGTTGTCAAACAAATCCTTTTTTGCAAAGGAGTCTAACATTTTTCTTTTTAAGTAAGCATGCGCTGAAGGAAAAGTAAATATATATCAAAATGTAAAGACCATTACTAATCCTCTTTGATTATTCTGCAACAATTCCACAACAATAACAAACTTTCATAAGGAGCTAGGTTTAAAAAGAGGATTCACAGGAGAAACACTTAAATCTCCCATATGGAACCTATACTCTCAAAGAAATTAATTACAATATATATACATTTTAATGGTTTAGAAAGTGGGACACATAGTGGGCTCATGGATGATCACATGGCACATCCACTTAGAATCGACTGCTTCTCTTTCAGGGAACTATTATTCGAAATAAATATTTTCCTTTACTTTTCTATAGCATGAAGAAGAACAGACATGAAACAAAACAGGAAGGTCTGTTGCTCCAAATATATCATAGAATTGGATGATGCGAAAACCTTCACCAAACTTGGGACCCAGGCACCATTCACATCTGGATGTGCTGCAATGGAGGAAGCATCAAATCATTATTTAGTAAGTTTCTTCTAAAAGAAAGACATTTTGCTCATTCTGTGTAAAATCTAAGGTAGTATAAAATATGGCCTTTATCATTATTGATCTTACCAGCTAATGGAAGTGCTAAGACATATACAAGTGAAAAATTAAATAATGAAAAAATTAAGTTGATATATGTATATTAAAAAAGATTTTTTAAAACAGAGAAGTGTAAATGCATAGCAAGGACCACTAAAGATAAATCCCAAAAAGATATTAACTATCCTTAAACAAGAAATTTAAATTTCTGTATTTTCCAAGTTCCCTTTTACATATAATTATATATTATCTTTATAACTCAAAAGTAATTATGTTGTTTTAAAAATAAAGGGACTATAATAACCTAAGTGTAGGATTAGTGTCCTTATATATTTTCAAATGCCCAGAAAGCCGATAAAAACAGATATCGACTCAATGGTACATTCATAGTGGCACATAACCAAACTATCCAGAGAAGAAACCCAAATGTCCAGAGAACACTGAAAGTAGAGCTTCTCAATCTCTTTTGTAATCAGGAAAATAAAAGACAAAATAGCAAAGAAATACCATTTCACAATCATCAGATGAGCTTAATGTAAAAATTGACAGTACAAAGTTTAATGAGGTGAGAACCATTAGAGAATCTTATACTTGTTTGGTTGGGTATAAATTGGTGTAATCACTTTGGAGAGCAAATTGGCAATTCCCACGTAAGTTGAAAATGCACATACTCTCTGACCTGCTGACACTTGTATTATTTGCATAATGAGATATACTTTAAGATGCTCATTACTAACATCTTGGAAATAGTGAAATATTGGAAACAACCCAAATGTCTGTGAGCAAGAAAAAGGATAAATAGGTTATTAAATATTCATTCTGAGAAAAAAATTATGACCTAGAATTGCAAAAAAAAAAAAAAAAGTTGAATTTAAAAGACAAGTTGAAAAGGACATATTTCAGGATAGTTTAAAGCATGAGAAATAGTACTTCATATTAGAGTTTTTTTTCCTGACACCAGCCAATTCTCAATTCTCTGCAGATGACAACTAGACAATTCAGTTCAGTCTGACACTAATTGCCTAGAGTTAGTTTCAGACTCTAACAGTTTAAAGGCTCAGTCCCACATGATTGCCCTCACTTTGGATACATTTGCAAAGATCAGTTCTTCAAGTTACCCACACATCTGTTTGACTTGGCTACAAATTGGGAGTTCCCTACCCCACACTTTTGATAATTTGCTAGAACAACTCACAGAACTCAGGAATATGCTGTACTTTCATATTATGTAGTTTATTAAGGAGGATGCAGATGAACAGCCAGATGGAGGGAGGTCTGAAAGGACCCCCAGTGCAGGAGCCTGTAGAGTTGGGGGAAGCCACTCTCGGGGCATGGGATGTATTCACCAATTTGGAAAATCTCTGAACTCTGCCATTTAGGGATTTCTATTTAAGTTTCATTATGTAGACATGATTAGTTAAACAAATGGTGAGTGAAGTCAAATCTCTAGTCCCTCTCTCCTCAAAGATGGAGGGGTGAAGCTGAAAGCTCCAAGTCTCTAATCAAAGATTGATCTTTCTGGCTGCCAGTACACATCCTGAAGCTATCTAAACCCCTCTCCACCAACATCCAAGTTACTTTACTAGCATAAAACCAAGTACTTTTGAAAGCGCTTTACAATTGGCAAAAGACATTCCTATCACTCCAGAAATTCCCTGGGTATTAGAAGCTCTGTGTCAAGAAATAGAAGTAAAGATCAAATATATTATCTTTAACTATCCAGTTTAAAGATTTAGAGCGGTTACCTCTGGGGAGAAAGCAAATGAAATTGGAGAAAGGCAAAAGGCAGCTTTAACTTTATCTAATATTTTATATAAGAAAAAGATATAAAGCCAATATAACAAAATAAGATTTGACAAAGCTATGAGGTTTTTCAAATACTTAATTCTATTCACTATATGTATTACATAATGGGAAATTTGTCAATGACTACTTTATAAAGGAAATTATCAAGATATGGTACATACCGTAATTTAAGCAGGTTGAGTTCTGAATCAGATTGAGGCATTTGAAGCCCATCTCATGGAAACAAAAAGTAGAATGCAGGAATTCACAGTGATTTTTTTGTCCGATATAAAGTTTTGATATATATCATGAGAGCAAACTGAGCTATGTGTTCTCCTATGCAGATTAATTTGTCTTTCCTTGTATTTAATAGCAACTTGAATTACTTACTCTATCTTTATAATAAGTCTCAGTATCTGGTAGACAAGTCCTTTACATTTTACCTTTTTTTCAGGTTTGTCTTGGCTATTTTGGAGTTTGCTTCTCCATACACATTTAATGATCAGTTTATTAAGTTTCTCAGAAAATTCTATTGGAATTTTGATCAGAATTATATTGAATTTATAGCTCTTTTTGGCAAGGATTGATATATTTTAGGTATTGAATCTTATCCCTAAATCTGTGCCTCTCTCCCACTTGATTCAACCTTATAAACTTTTTTTTAAATATTTTTACTGTTTTTCTTCATAAATATCTTACAAATATATTTCACTTAACATATTTCTAGGTACACCATATTTTTCCTTGCTATCACAATAAGTATTTTAAAATTACATTTCTCATTGTTTGATGTCTGATTATAGTGCCATCTTTTTTCATGCCATAGCATAGACATTGTTGTTAATATCCACGGAGATCATCTTTGTTTACCTATATGTTTTTCAACTTCTTTTCCCTCCATTTCTTTTTTACACTTTGGTACTTCTTTCTGGAGTCATTTCTAATGCACATTCTTTTCAAGTTTCTTTATTGAAAATCTGTGAGGAGTAAATTCTCTGTTTTATTTTTTTATGAAAATACTATTCTTTCTCCATTGTTCTTGAAAGTTTTTATGGAAAAAATATTTTTTCAATTATCATTCTACTGATGCTGGTGACAATTTGTTGTTTTTTGTAAGTCACTTTTTTCCCTACTGGATGATTTTAAGTCCTTTCTCCATACTTAGTATTTTTCAGTTTCATCTCAGGTTATTTTATGTAGGTAAGACCTTCACGTTTCTGTGAATTCACATCTTCTGTTACCTCTGAGAACTCATAAGCACTATTTCATTGAACTGACTCCCAATAGTCTCTCTACTTTCATTTGCCATGACTCTTAAATGTATGTTAAATGTTCTTTTATTATCCACATCCCCTTCCTATATTCACAATAATTTCTTCAGATCTTTCTTTGTGTGTATATAATTGTTTGCTTAACCCTTGCACCAAATTAATTTCAAATACTAGAATTTAGAATTTTATATCATTAAAAATGTTTTTATATTTTCCTGGTCATATTTAATGCTTTTTATTTCTTGAAAGATTTTGAAAATTATGTTTTATTTCTTTAAACACAAAGTAAGAAATTGTAACTTAAAAATTTGTATTTATTGATTTTTTTGCTGACTTTTAATCTTGATGACTTATTTTCTTATTGCAATGTTCTGATTTATAGGAAATATATGTGTATATATATGTATGTATATATAAAAATATATGATACATATCAAATATATACCCAAATATATTCCTCATATATATATTTGATCTTCATTCACAGTTCCTGACTCACAGCTCCCAAAAGCCTTGGCATTTCCTAAGTGTTGAGAATGATTTGTTAATTTGGTGATTTTTGAGGGACACACCTAAGATGGAGGCTGGTTGCCAGCAGAATCAGTCATGTGATTAGGAGGTTGGAATTTCCAGTCCCACCCCCTGATCTTGGGGGAGAAGACAGAGGCTTGAGGTTGAATTCAAGTGCCAATGGCCAGTAAGCTCATCACTCATGCCTAAGTAATGAAAGCTCAAAAGGAGGCCCATTGGAGAGCTTTTGGGCTGGTGAACTGAAGAGCCAGGAGGAGCAATTTGAAAAAGTATGTATGTGTTTGGTATGTAAAGTGAGGTACATGTGTGTGAATAGTAAAACTATCATCTGGGCCTGTAATGAATAACAATTTAAATGCTTAGAAATGTATTTTGGTTAAAAGGGCCCCAGAATTTGCTTACCATTTTAGCAATTTTTGAATTTCCTCTGGGATCACGTCGTAATATTTAAAAAGATTTCTTTTTAAAAACAAGAAAGCAGTAAGTTGAGTAAGTTTCTGTGGATTATTCAAAATGACATCTTTCCAAAAAATAGGATGAGTATAATTGTTCTCAAATTGGATTTTTTTAAGGTTAAGCATCAATATTCCAGGTGGAAAACTTCTCAGGTCATTCCCATTAATGGCTAGTTTTGTAAGTGATCTGCAAATAAAGGAAACATAATATGAAAGGCATACATGCAATTTAGAATACCAAAGTAAAATTTTATCAATATTCCTGAAAATTGGTATAAAATTTAGTAATAAAATACAAATAAAAGAAATAGAAGTATTTCTTTACAATCAAGAGAATTAACTTTAAAAGTAACTAAACCACTATATTTTTAGGCAAATAAGTATATTTGTGTGAATAATAGCATGAAAACAAGTATTTTTGGTTTTGTAACATGTCATCACTATGGAAAAAAGAAATAATATTCACAAACACAGCAACAGGAAGAAATATGTCATTACATAAAATATAGTATGATACAAAAAATACATTTTCATAGACATTAAATAATCACACTTTTTTTATTCAACTTCAATCAAGACTGAAATTGAAGCTTTTCAAACTGCATTATGTGCTGTGTTATACTTTGACTTTTCATCAACAATGTCAGTTTCTAATAACTCATATCTTTATACCTTTATGCAAAGAAAACCAACATTGATTTTCTCATTTTATACCACTTGCCTTAATGGTACTTTAAAAATATTTTCGGGCCTCCCCGGTGGTGCAGCAGTTGAGTGCTGGGTTGTGAAGCTGCCCGCAGCCTCGGCAGCGACGGTTTGATCTCCAGCTGCACCCTGGCCACTAGAGGAGGGTCCCACATGGCGCGCAGACCTCTCCTGCTGCCCGCTGCTCCCCTCAGCAGTGTACTTGGGTCCTTCTGCCTGCTCTGCTCCCCGCTCTGGCTCTGGTGAATTCTCTCACCCTCCTGCGCTTCTGACTGTACCCAGTGCTTGTATAAATAAATAAATAAATCTTTAAAATAAATAAATAAATAAATAAAAATATTTTTGAGTCACTTGTCGCCTTTCTAATTCTGCCTATTTATGCAAAATAGACAGAAAAATATCTGTTCATGAGGGACATATAAAAATCAAATCAAAAGCTGGTTCAACTTGTCAACTATACAAGTACTGAAAAGGTTGATAGATGAACTTAGGCTTAAGATAACCTTATAAAAATGCCATCAGGGGACTCTAGCTTCTCAGTTGCAGTCTACTTTCATATCTCTTATCTACACAATTCGAGCTCCTTAATTGTACTTCCTTCTGCTATGGCCAAAATATAGTCAAACTGGCATAAGGTACCATAAGAGGAGAGTGCTGCGAGAGGAGCAGAGAGAAGGCCAGGGAAGTAAGAAAGACAGGAAAAAGAAAGACATGGAAAAGTAAGAGAAGGAAAAGGAAAAATAAAAGAAGCATGAGCTAGCGTCAAGTTGTCTCAAGCCCCTCATTTCATCCTCAGCCCTTCTCTTTTCGTGCCTACGAATCCCGCGGGTCGGGACATTCCCCCCCCCCAAAAAAAAGAAAGAAATGGGAAAATGAGAACATGCATAAATGGGTAAAAACAAAGTAAAGTGGAAGGCAAAAACTAAATATATTAGTGATAACAAATGTTAACTAGCTGAATTGCCTATATTAAATACAAAGATAGTCACATAGGACATTAAATAATTGATATAAAATAGAAAAACAAACATAAAATTTCATTTTAATGAAGTTTATGCTCCTGGAAAACTATACAAAATCAGGTAAAACTCTATCAGGACTTATAAATCATTTGGTTACATGGTTTGATTTTAAATTAAAGAAGTACATAGCTTTTCTCCAGTCTTTTCTGGTGGTAGTAATGAAAATCAGAGAAAATATTCATTTATAGTAGCACTACAATTACAAAGTACTTAGAAAAGGTTAATAAGATAAAAATCTTGTATGAAATGGGTCATATAGTCTTATGAAGAACATAAGAATTGAACAAATAAAACTTGCAATTTTTTGATGAAAGGATTTATTGTCAGAAATGTAAGTTCTGATAACTTTAATTTTTATATGTAAATTCAATGCAATTCCAATTAAAGTCCCAACTTTGTGCTTCTGTGTTTTGGGGGTGGAATTCTCAATCTAAAGAGGATAGTTAAGAGCTATTATTGAAAAATAATCTCCCTACTTGATACTATTATTCTAAGATTACAGTCAAAATAATATGATACAAAAAGGAACAGATATGAACATCAAAAAATTTTAAGATATTAATATGAGAAAAAACAGAGCCTAGCAATGAAATTATCCTTTGTATTACTTGTACTTGTAGATGTATTTCCTTATGAAAATAAATAAAACCACACAAAGGAAAATGGACAAAATAACTTGTCATTCTATTAAGTGGTCATTGTAGCTTCCCTTTAAATATTGAAAGTGGTATAACTTTAAAATATTATATACCAACCATTCAAATTACATTTTGGTAAACTTTATGCCTCATGTAAATTTACTCCATTGCAATCATCACGGAATATTCTTTTTTTTTTAAATTTTGTCTCTTTTTAAGATTTATTTATTTATACAAGCACTGAGTACAGTCAGAAGCGCAGGAGGGTGAGAGAATTCACCAGAGCCAGAGCGGGGAGCAGAACAGGCAGAAGGACCGAAGTACACTGCTGAGGGGAGCAGCGGGCGGCAGGAGAGGTCTGCACGCCATGTGGGACCCACACCCGGTGGCCGGAGATTGAACTGGCACCACAGAGTCTGCGGGCAGCTTCACAACTCAGCGCTCAACTGCTCTGCCACCCGGGAGGCCCATCACGGAATATTCTTAAGGTCATATCATTTTATACATACTTACTACTTCCAAAATACCTGAGTTTCTGGATTTCGTTTGGAATAAAATCAATACTATTGTAGGAAAGATCAACTTTCTCAAGATGGGACAAGGAAAAAAACCTTAATTGGAAAAAGAAAATTAATTGTAAAAATGAGTATTTATACTGGACATAATTAAAGAATTAAGTACGTGAGTAAATAGTATGAAAATCAAAGAATTAATACATGAGTAAATAGTATGAAATAGAGAGAAACTTTTTCTAAGATCTTGGAATTTAGATAGACTTCTTTTTATTATAGATAACATGATTACAATGAAAATTCCTAAAAATTTTTCATTTATCCATTAAAACCGGTTTGAAATGTTTTAGAGTAGATAAAACCTCATCTACAAAGGCCACCCAAGAAATTCCTCACATTTGAGAATGTTTTTCCTGGTGTAATGTTATGATAAGTATATGTGTAATTTATACCAGTGATAAGTATTGTGTGAATGATACTCTTTTAAGTGACTGAGTAGTTAGTTCTATATAGTACAAACATGAATTTGGATGCACTTCCTTAATTACTATGCAGATTTTATTTTGTAAAATGTTCAACTACTTAAGAATCCCTGTTCCTTTACCCATAACCTACATTCAGTTTTTTAAACTCAAATTGGAAAAGATACCTTCTTTTGGCATTTGGTTTAAGATTTTGGTTTAAAACTTTGATTCAGAGTTAAATAATTAGCTGTCCATATGTGGGGGAGAGTCTATGATATTTGGTCTTCATTCGTAGTTCCTGACTCACTGCTCTCAAAAACCTTGGACTTTCTTAAGTGCTGAGAGTATTAAAAGTGTCTCTTAATGGACCCAGATAGTATCAGTGGTGGTTCCTTGCTTCATTCCCTGGAGGCTCAGCTACACTAACCCATGTAACAGCACCTAGAGACTCCCATAGCATACAGTGAAATTAGAACACCCCTTGGACATCAGGGACCAGTTAGACTGTACCAGAGGGAAACAGAGGAGATCCATGCTTCATTGAACAAGAGGTGGGTAGAGAGAGACTCCTGGAGGCTGTGGCCTAGTGTCGGAGTCTGCAGTACAAACTATGGTATGACCACTTGGTCAGCCACTTGACCAGTGGTCCTGGAAAGGAGGGATGGATGGTTTGGAGGCACACGCCCTTATCTGAAGGAAATTTGTGTGGAAAAGCTGAGGGATTCCTGATGGGATATCGTCCACAATGAAAAGAGAAGGACGGTGAGATGGATTACGAAATCCCTTGCCACCCTTTAGGTCTGGTGCTGACCTTGTGGAGTGCATTGACAGCAAGTACTAGCAGCAGAGTCGAGATTTCCTAATTCAAAGTTCAGTGCTTCCCCATACCCAAAAGACTATTAAGTGATAGGTGTAAGGTTCTTATTTGAGTCTTTTTATATTGTGTTCATTTAATCCACACTGAGATTATGAATCTCTACATATATATTCACTAGCCTTATATTAATTGCCATCTCTGTAGCTGGTGAAATTATTTTTAACACAATATTAAAAAGCAAATAAGCTAACTAGAACAGAATAAGAATTATTAAAATTGCAATTTTCAAAAAAAATTGATGAACTTCTAAATAATAAACTGTATATTCTATGTTTATAATCTCAGACTGACTCTTACCCAGGTGGAAGAGTAGTGATAAAATTAAAGGCTATGTTGAAAATTCTAAGGTACTTAAGTTGTTCAATTGCAGAAGGGATTTCTTTGATAGGATTATTTCTCAGAATCAGTACTTGTAAATATTTAACACAAAATACCTGAGGAACAGAAAAGAGAAATAACACAAGTAGAGTAATAAAGTATGCAAATGCCTTTTTGTTACATTTTATAAACCCTTTGAACTAATGTAGTAAAATCAGGGTAGTAACTTTAATTGGCTGTATTATTTATCTCAACAAATGCCTTGGTAATAACTGATCAACATTAATATGTACAATATAGTAAGATAATGCAACTACTATATTCATACACCCATGACTCATGAATGATCCCAATCTAAATGGGAAATTCATCCTGTTTTGATCAAGCTCATGGTTTCATAATAAGCAATTACGCAAACAGTGAGGGAGGAAGGAGATACCTGCAGAACCAGGAAAATAAGTAAGTAACCTTAGTAATCTGTGGAGTGTCAGCTATCATAGCCATATTGTTTTACTGTGGCATCATAGTAATTGCATGTACACTGATTTTTCATATGAAGTGTAAAAAAAGAATATTCCATTTAAATCTGTCATCTTTGCGTGACTAATATATTTTTTGCTCTCTGGTGAATCTTCATAAGGTGTACATTAGCTCTCTTGAACAAATTAAGCCTTTTTATATTCATAAGGATCTAAAATTGGTAGAACAGTGCAGGATAATTCTTGTAATCAGAAAGTATAAGCCTTCCAATATTGTTTTTCCTTTTCAGCATGGTTTTGGCTATTTGCAATTCCTTTCATTTCCATATGAACTTTAGGATCATATCAAATTGGGGAGGGGGAGTCAAGTTGTAATTTTCACAAGCATTGCAATGAATCTATAGGTCAATTTGGGAGTATTGTAATCTTAGCATGTTAAAACTTCAGATTCCTGAATTTAGGATTCTTGCCATCTAAGTATATCTCCTTTAATTTTTAAACAATGTTCTACAGTTTTCACCATAAACATTTTGCACTTTTGTTAATCTTACTCCTGAATATTTTATTATTCTTTTTTGTGGAAATAAAGTCTCTCTCTCCCCTTCATCTTCTTTCCTCCTTCCTTCCTCTCTTACCTGTACCCTCCCTCTCCTCACTGTTCCCCTGCCTCTTCCCTCTCCTCTCTCTCCTCCCCTTAACTCTGCCACTATCTTCTCCTCTTCTTTCTCTCAGAGGTAGTCACAATCATTAACTACATTTTGTGGGATTTCTTAATTAAAAGTTTTTCCCCTCCACTATCCCTTATATTCTCTTGACCCTTTCTACCTTCCTCCTCCTTAACCTCAGAAAACTCACTTCATTTATTAGTGTCTCCAAGTTTTTATAGGTATTTTACTTTGTCAAATCATCTACACTGTAAACGTCCAATATTTGTCTTTGTCATTCTGATTTGTGATACTGCACATGTTTCCCTCAAACTACTTCCATTTTGCTTTAAATAGTAGCATTTAGTCTTTCCTTATGGCTGAATAGTATATCATAGTATGGATTGTTTTTGGTATTATGAAGAAATTCAACAGATTTTTGTATATTGATGTGTGCTACAACCTTGCTGAATTCAAACATTAGTTTTAGTGGTATTTTTTGTGAATTCCTTAAGATTTTTTTTTAAATTAGTATTTTATTTTATATAATTCTTACATCATTTTTCATTTTTGTACAATGTATGCATTATCATTTTGGTTATATTCCCCATACAATTGCACCCCCCTTATTTAACCCTAGTCCTTCCTCTTCCCTTCCCCCTCCCCCCCAATGGTGTGTCTCTGGTTTATAGTTGCTTGTTGATTTTGATTTTTACTTTGCATTAATTAGTCTTTTTCCTGGTCCCTTATTTAGGTTTTCTAAATTCCTGCTATGAGTGAGATCATCCGTTATTTGTCTTTTTCTTTCTGACTTATTTCACTGAGCATGATCCCTTCTAGCTTACCCAAATGACACAGAAACATTAATTTCAAAGGACACCGCCTGCACCCCTATTTTTATAGCAGCATTATTTACAATAGCTAAGCTATGGAAACAACCCAAATGCCCAAAAATAGATGACTGGATCAAGAAGATGTGGTACATATACACCATGGAATATTACTCAGCATTCAAAAAAGATAAACACATGCAGTTTGCAACAACATGGATGGAGCTAGAAGGAATTCCTTAAGATTTTTATATACAAATAATGTCATCTATAACTAGAGATAGTTTAAAGAACTCTTTCCTTTTAAATCTAGAATACTTTTATTTCTTTTTCTTACCTAATTGCATTGGTTAAAAAGCTAGTACAATGTGGAATACAAAGTAGTAAAAATGAACATTTTCATCTTGTTCCTCATCTTAGAAGGAAAACGTTCAGTCTTTTACCATTAAGTATGATATTAGCTATGAGGTTTTCTCTTTGTGGCTGCCCTTTAAGAAGTTGAGACTGTTCCCTTCTATTCCTAGATGTTGCTTTTGTATCATAAAAGGATGTTATATTTTGTAAACTGTTATCTGCCTCTACTGAGGAAATAGTGTAGTTTTTCCCCCCTTCACTATGCTAATATGGCATATTACATTGATTATTGTTTTTGTTTTTTTGCTATGTTTCACCAATCTTGCATTCCTGGGATAAAGCTCACTTGGTCATGGTGTAAAACCTTTGTTACTGAATTTGATTTGCTTGAATTTTCATGAGGATTTTTGCATCTGTATTCTTGTTCTGTAGTTTTTCTTTCCATATTTTTGTCTAGTTTTGGTATCAAAACATTAAAGCAGGGACTGTTTCTTCCTCTATATTTAGAAGAGTTTGTGAGAAATTATGTTAATTTTTTTAAAGATTTTTATTTATTTATTTACACAAGAACTGGGGTACAGGCCAGATTCACCGGAGCGTGAGAGGATTCACCAGAGACAGAGTGGGGAACAGAACAGGCAGACTGACTGAAATACACTGCTAAGGGGAGCAGCAAGTGAAACAGTAGAGGTCTGCCATGCCATGTGGGACCCTCGCCGGTCAGCCAGGATCAAACCATTCTCTACTGCACTAATCTCTGCACAATTTTTATTGTTATCTTTATTCCTTTTGTTAACTTGCCCTTTATTTTTCCCTAATGGTTTCAATGGAGAATTAGGTTATTGATTTCCCTTTTTTAACATAAACATTCAGAGCTATAAAATTCCCTCTGGATACTGCTATACATATACCCTATTCATTTTGGCATGGTGTGTTTTCATTTTCATTCATGTCAAACTATTTTCAAATTTCCCCTTTGATTTCTTCATTGAGTCATTCATTAATGAAGGTGTTGTTTAATTTACATGGATTTAATTGCCATATACTTTCAAATTTCTTTTAGTTATTAATTTGCAATTATATTCTATATGGTAAAAAAAATTCTCTGATTTTTATTTATTTTTAATTTATTGATATGGTCCTACTTGGGAAATGTCCTATATAAATTTGTGATTGTGTATTTTGTTACTGTTGGTTAGAGTATTGCATAAATGTCTATTAGGTCTCATTGATCTATAGTACTGTTCAAGCCTTATATTTCCCTGTTGACTTCTGGCTAGTTGTTGTATGCATTATTGAAAATGGAGTATTGAAGTATCTAATGATCTAATCTAACTATTATTCTTGAATATTATATTTCTCCTTTCAATTTTTCAGTTTTGTTTCATGTACTCTGGGGTTCAATTGTTAAGTATTTATGTGTTTATATTTGCTGTGTTATCCTAATATATTGACGCATGTCCCCTTTTATCTCTAGTAATTTGTTTTAAAATCTATTTTTTTTATATTGTAATTACTCCAGGTTCCTTTTGGTTGCAGTTTGCATATCTTTACCCATACTTCTATATTCAAACTCCTTTTTTCTTTCAATCTTAAGCAAATCTCCTGTAGATAGCATATCACTGAAGCTTGCTTCTTTTAGATCCAGTTTGATAATTTGGATCTTTTGATGTCTTCACATCCAATATTATTATGACATGATTGAATTTATGTCTGCCATTTTACTATTTAATTTTCTCTTTTTGCCTTCTTTCGCATCAACTAAATATTTTCTAGTGTGCCATTTTAATTACTTTAAAGATATTTTTCATTATATTCTTGAGTTATTTTCTTAGTTATTGTTTTAGATTTACACTTATCAAAATCTTAAGATTTACACTAAATACCAGTAAGCTAAGCAAATGTTGTTCTTTTTTTTTTTTTTCTTTAAAGAGGCATGTATTTTTATTTATTTATTTATTTGTTTATTTGTTTATACATACACTGGGTACAGTCAGAAACGCGGGAGGGTGAGAGAATTCACCAGAGCCAGAACGGGGAGCAGAGCAGGCAGAAGGACCGAAGTACACTGCTGAGGGGAGCAGCGGGCGGCAGGAGAGGTCTGCGCGCCATGTGGGACCCTCCTCTGGTGGCCGGGGAGCAGCCTGGGATCGAACCGGTGCCGCAGAGGCCGCGGGGAGCTTTGCAACCCAGCGCTCAACTGCTGCACCACCGGGGAGGCCCCCCCTTTTTTTTTTAAAGATTGATTTATTTATGCATACAAGTTATGGGGTGTAAACCAGAGGTGCGGGAGTGTGAAAGGATTCACCAGAGAAAGTGGGGAGCAGAACAGGCAGATCTACTGAAATACACTATTGAGGGGAGCAGTGGATGAGACAGAAGAGCTCTGCTGCACCATATGGGTTTCTCCCTGGCCGGCTGGGGATCGAACTCATGTTACAGTGGCTGGCTACAGTAGCTTGACAGCAGTCTTCAATCCCTGTGTCACCAGGGAGGTCTGGAAATGTTGTTCTTAAATAGCTCTATTCTCTCTTCCTTTTTGTACACTGATTGTGATATGTATTGTGTCCATATGTATTACAGATACAACAATACATTATATAATTATTACTGTATATAATTGTATGTCTTTGAAGGAAACTGAGAGATGAAAGAAAACCAATTATTAGATACAAATAGGGCTTGTTATATTAAACTTCCTATTTACCATTTCAGCTTCTGTCTTTATCTGTCCCAAAACCATTTCCTGTCTCTGATTTCACCATCTTGAATTTTCTATGAAATTTGCAATAATTCCAGTTACCACATTTGTTCTCTATTCATTGCAAGTACACTTTGTTAATAACTTGGCTCATTATCCTACCTCCAGTACATCCCTTCCAAGTTTGGACACTACCATCCTTGTTGGTATATATACAGTATATACCTGCATTTTAATAGCAAGTTCTATTGAGTTCTATCACTTTTAAAATTGTCACTTTATATTTGACAACCGAAGTCCTCCTTTTTATTTATACATTACTTTTTAGTAAATAGAACATTCTTTGGATTCTACACAACCCTCATCTATGATTATTTAGAAGAAAGGTTAAAATTAACATGAATAACTAATATCCCCATTATTCCTTGGGAATTCTGGTCAACTTGTGTTAGTCAAATTAATAAAAACTGGTATTGTGTGTTAAGAAAAGAAAAAATAATTCTAGTGAAAATAAAAACAGCATCATCAAGAAATTATGGAAAAACCATTTTTAATACTATGTATAAAATATAACAAATCCATTTACTAAAAATAATTCGTGAAAGCCAATTCACAAAATAACCAATTACCCAGTGACCTGTAAAGCAATGAGTTTAGAAACTGAATACATAATAGTTCATTTATTTTAAATGATATTTAATTATCTCATACCATATGTGATTATCCTTGATATGTTTTTATAAAGCAGAATATGCTATTTATTTCAGTCTATTATCATTAAAATTTTGTCACAACAACATATTTTCTGGTCATTAAATTTTTTTAATAAAGCTTTTGAGCAACACATCGTTAGGCTTATTTTAGATTTTATTTGGAGTTAAAAGAGTAAATTAATTACTTTATATACATTATACTATTTTGAGAAACATATTTAAGAATATAGTTATTAACTGACTATGGCACTGTCCTTGAGAATTATATCATGGAACTTCCTAAAAAAAAAATATATATATATATAGTTCTTTAGACATTTCTGAAAATAAGTCTTCTTGGATGCAATATAAAATATATAGTAATGCCAAGACATCTTAAGAGTCTAACTCTTATTATAATGAGAAATGATTGCAATATATAATATAAAAAAATGAACTCACTTCTGTAGGAAAGGAAGAGATATGATTAAATGACAAATCAATATATACCAGTTGGAAAGCCAAAGGTGTTAAGTCTGGACAATTGGAGATAAAAAACCCCTAAAAGAAAGTGACAAGAGATAATAAGTTAATTACTAATAATGCACAAAATATTTTTTACAAGAGTAAATAAAAGAGCACATAATCTAATCTAAGTGAAAATCTTTGACCCAATACACTAACTAGTCTGTGCTCACCTTCCATTAGTTTATTTTAGTCTGTCATCTTAACAATTTCTTAAATATGCAAAGGAAGAAACAAAATAGAAAAACTACTAAGTATTTTTATATGTAATAACTATAGTGTTTTATAGATATAACAGGCATTATTTCAATTATTAACAAGCAAACACTGAGTGTCTACAGTATGCTGGAATATAAATAATTAAATCTTTTATATTTAATTATCTTTTCACCCCATTATTTTCATGTCTCTACTTCTATTTCTCTGTTACCTTTCTATTATTAATCTAACACCTATCTAAATTATCTTGCTTGAACATGCCAATGTCTGATTGAGAAAGTCTTATGCCTTGATATAAACTAAATATTTGTGTGCCCCCAAAATTCATATGTTGAAACCCTCATCGCCAATGTCAGTAATTTGGGAGTGAGAACTTTGGGAAGTAATTAGGATTAGATGAGATCTTAAGGGTGGAACACTCATGATGGGATTAATGCCCTTATAAGAAGTGGAGGGGACCTCAGTACTGCCTCCCTCAGACTCCCAACCCCTACTCCCTACTATGTAAGATCAGCTGTGAATAAGAGTGCTCCTGCTAGGTACTGATTTTGTTGACACCCAATCTTGGAATTTCCCAGCCACCAGAACTATGAGAAATCAATGTTTGTTGTTTATGCCATGCAGTCTGTGGTATTTTGTCATAGCAGTCTAAATTAACTAAGACCTGCCTAGTACCTCCAGTATTTTCAGTGCTTCAGGAAAGTCAGAACATTTGTTTCTTAAGAATCATAGAATTACTAATGATGAACCAAAGAATTCTAATGCCAGGCAATAAAATCTCAGGTTTATTGTGAAAGGAGGCATTGCTGTCAGTGCATTAGGCTTTGGCATGTACTATATAAGAATGAAAAGTTCCTGGCTAAAGAATCTTGGAGTTGACAGAACTGGTTTTAAGACTGACTTATTATTAAAGTATTAATATTTGTGACTGTGTATATCTTCCTAATAGACAAAACCATGTGTTCTTGCTTCCTGTCATTAAGCATTTTTCTCTTCTCTGCATCACTAGTGATGCTTTAAATTAAGTAGCAGAAATATATCTGTTACAGTCTCTAGTATTTCCATATCAGTGTGTTCAGATAACTAGTGCCTTTACATTTCCTTCTGTCTGGAGACCTCTTCCCTATCTATTCCAGTGAATTAACTTCTCACTTATAATCACTTGTAATTAACTTCTCACTTCTACTTATAAGTCATCCAACCGAGACTTCCCTGACCAACCTATCAAACTAGTGCTCAATGGATAGACCCTCTTTCTCTCCCCTTGCTTTGTTTTTCTTCATACCTCTTAGCACCACAGGCAGATTATGTAAAAAATATGTACGTGTGTGTGTATATATGTATGTGTGTGTGTATATATATGTGTGTGTGTGGGCTCTCACCCCCACTAAAGCTTATAAGTTCCATGAAATGGGCATTTTTTCTGTTTTGCACACTGATACAAAGTGAAATATATAGCTTACTGCTGATACCTCGTTGGTTCTTAATAATAATGGTTGAACAAGTGACCATTCTAATAGTAATGGGCATTCCTAGTGCCCAGATCTTGGCTTCCCCACTAAAAATAACAAAGGATCTTTGGAGAATCCTGGGAGAAATGACTGTTCCCAGGTCTTGGGTAGGGAGAGTACAGAATAAATCTGAAAGAACAATGGGGGTATGTCAAATGGACACTGAAATCAACTTGAATGAACCTTTACTAATGAAATCTGGGACAACCTGAGAATAAAAATAAATTATGGTGTAATAGATTACACTCATTAATAAAATGGTGATATAAATTAATGAATAAATAAATTGAAGGTCTGGTAAAAGGATTATTTGCATAGTTTCAAATTACCACATTCTACTTATTAAATACAAAGGGGAAAAGAGTAATAGTGAAGAAAACTTGCAGATAATCACCTTAAAGACAATATTAAAGTGAATACCACTAATGAGGGAATAAATTGAAGCTCTGCATCATCTGATCAGATAGAATGAGAAAAAGCTTTTGAGGTATTAATGCCAAAGGTGAATGACTTATGTCTAATCATAAGAAAATGAGACAAACCCACACTAATGGACATTTCACAAAATAACTTTCTAAAGTCTTCAAAATTTCAAAGTCACAACATCAAAGAAAACTGAAAACATGCTAGCTTGAAAGAAACTAAAACGACTATATACAATGTGTGACCCTGAGTTGGATACTTTTGTTACATTATTGGATAAATTGGCAAAATCTGAATGTGTTTCTTTGATTGGGTCAGTAATGAGAAAAGTATTATTTTCCTGATTTTGAGGGCTGCTCTGTGGTTTTATAGAAGAGTGTATTTGCTTACAGGGAATATACACTGAAGTATTCAGAGATAATGGAACATAATGTCTGTAGTCTTTTGCAGTGTCTTTGTCTTCACCTTGAACCTGTGTTATACTAACAGCATAGACTGTGTTAGAGGTAATTTTATGATTAATAAAAAAAATGTGTATTTCTCATTTTTCATCCACAGTTCCTGGCTCATAGTTCCCAAAACCCTTGGAATATTTTTAACAGTAAAAATAATGGGAACATCTTTTGTCTTTTGTCCACAGTTCCTGAAATCACTTTAGAGTCATAAAGAAGAAATATGTGTCATTTTTCATAACAAGTCCCTCTCCACCACCACAACTGGGTTTATGTTAATGAGGTAATTTTTGGAAAGTATCTAAGGATGGGTTGCCAGGAGCACCAACCAAAGACTAGAGAACATTTAGTCTCTCCAGCTTCTCCCTCCTGGCCTCTGGGAGGGGAGAGGGAATGGAGATTGAGTTCACTTATCAATAGTCAGTGATTTAATCAATCATGACTAAGTAATGAAACCTCCATAAAAACAAAGGGACAGGTTTCAGAGAGCTTCTGAGTTGATAAACTAGAGGAAATTTTGGAAGCATGGTGTACCTGAGAGGGCATGGAAGCCTTGTACCATTTTCCCAAACCTTGCCCTATGTCTTCATCTGGCTATTAATTCATACCCTTTAAAATCCTTTGTAATATACTGATAATCTAGAGAGTAAATAGGTTTTCTGAATTCTGTGAAGCACTCTACAAAATTAATCTAATCCATGAAAAGGGTCGTGAGAACCTTTAATTTATAGTTGGTCAGAAGTAAAGGTAACACAATGGATTTGTAATTAGCATACTGAGTTGCAGGGTGGGGGTGACTGGAACCTCCAATTTGTATCCAACTGGTCAGAAGCACAGACAAAAACTGGATTTTCAATTGGCATCAGAAGGAGAGGAGAATGTTATAGAACTGTCATTTACCTGCGCAATCTGATGCTATTTCTGGGTTGGCAGTGTCATTATTAAGTTGAACTATAGTAAATCCAGCTAATTTTCAGGAATTGTTTGGTTGTGTGGGGGAAAATACCTGTATACCTAATGGTGGAATTGGGTCCTAAACACTTTAAGAGGTATGCCCCCCTCATTTATTTTCTGAGTTTGAGAAGTAAAGATGTTTTCTTTAAATGATTAACAAAATTCACCAATATAGCCATCTCATCATGGACTTTTCTTTGTGAGGAGGGTTTTGATTATTCAATCTCTTTACCTGTTATAGGTCTGCTTAGATACCTATTTTTTGTTGAGTCATGTTTTATAATCTGTGTTTTTCTAGAAAATTTTCATTTATATATCTAAGATATATAATTTGTTGAACTACAGTTGTTCATTGATTTCTTTAATAATTCCTTTTATTTGAGGCCAGTAGTAATGTATCCATTTTCATTTCTGATTTTAGTTATTTGTATATTCTTTCTCTTCTAGTTTCCTTTAGTCATTTGATCATGTTTAAGACAGCAGACTTGAAGTCTTTTTCTCGTAAGGGCAGTGTCTGTTCTTCCTTAAAGACAATTTTTGTTAATTTCTTCTGTTAATGGGCCATATTTCTTGCTTCCTTACCTGTTCCATAATTTTTGTTGTTGCTGAGATCTGGACACTTAATATTATAATGTGGTAACTGTAAAAATCATATTCTTTTCCCTTGTAAGGGCTTGCTTTTTTTTGCATGTTGTGGGCTAAACCTGTTGGTTTGCTTAATGAATTTTTTCTGTGCTATATTTGTTAAGTTCATATTCCTTTCATTTTGTTGTCTTAGGAATATGCTCCTTTAACTTGTGTTTAGTTAGTGTTTTGACAGAGTTCCTTGGACAATAGAAGAGAATTTGAGAGAGAGTGAGAGCCTGCAGGAATAAGAGAGGGAGAGAACAATACTTCCTCCAGTCTTTTCAGATTGGCTTTATGAAAGGACATCCTGTCAATACTTAGACCATTTAAAACTATGCATTAACCTTCACTTTCTGCTTGGGCTGTACCTGGAGATTGGCCAGAATTGAAAGATTGGGGTCTCCTCATTTCTTTTCTAAGAATGCATCATGTCTGAACAAGCATGTGGCTTTCTAAGCCCCCAGTATACATGGGTATTTTTGAATGGCCTGATTTCCTGAAAACACTCCCCAGGCACCTTTTGATATTTTTGTAAATTTCTTATGAGTTTTAACTTATTTTAAAAAAAACTAGTATAAATATTTGAGGCCAAAGAATTCTTGATATTATTCCAAGCTTAACTACTTGATTGCTTGTGTGACATTGTGCAAGTTACTTTCATTTGGGCTTCAATGTTTTCATCTGTAAAATGAAGATTATACCTTCCTTGAAGAATTGCAAGTTTTAAGAGTAAGAGTAATATTTGCTTTGCACATAGTGGGTGCTTAATAAATGGTAAACTGTATTGTTATTCATCATATTGAGCTTGTATTCAGTGAAAAGCTAGCTTGGTGCTAGACTTGGCATCAGGGTTAAGATTACAGGTAACTTAAAAATATATCTCTGCACCTCACTTTTCTTATTGTGCTGGGTAATAAAATAAGTATTATAATTATTTTGGATTGAGCATTTTTTAAACTTAGTTGGTGGAATGAAGACCAGCTAGGAGAAATAGGGTTAGTAATGCCATGTGAATATGTGAAGGTGGTCCTGGGAAATTTCTACTATAACAGAAAAGACCCCTTCAATATCATGGCAACAACTTAAGTTAGAAAACATAAAGCAAAAATAATTGATAATATAATAGGAAATTGTCATTAAAAGAATTTAGCATACCTTAAGACTAAGTGCATTTCTTTCATACATTTGACAGGTTAGTAGGGCCAGGTTGATCATAGATAGTACCGTTTCATCTTGTGTTGCTGCAACAGTCTTATAATGACCAGAATGCAGGGATTGTATCAATGGCTCATTTCCTTTTCCAAATATAGTGAGGACTAAATAAATAGGACAAAACATCAAATTTAAATGTGTTACCACTTAGAGTAAAAGTTAACAATCATCATAAATTGTTATTATAAATAGATTAGTTGTATATCCTTTGGATGAGATTCCCATCCAACCCCGTTATTTCTGTTCTTCAAACTGGGTTTTGTTTGTTGTTGAAAATTAGATAGCACAATTGTCGTGGGAGAAATAGTGGTCTCAAAAGTCCTGTGGTTCCTGTAGTGAACAGTACTATATTGTGTATTTGACAGTTGACAGAAGGGTAGATCTTAAATTTTCTCAACACAAGAAAAACATTGTAACTATAGTGGTGAAAAATGTTAACTTATTGTACTTATTTCACAAAATATACATATATGAAATAATTATGTTGCACACTTTAAATTTATACAATATTTTACATCAATTATATCTATTAAAACTGGGGGGGGAGGAAGAAAGTTCTATTGTTGGTGTGTTCTGCTGGGTATAATCTCCTATTAAGCACATCTATTATATCATTACTATGTAACGCTTTTTTTTTATTATAGAATTTTGATTCTTATTTTAGAAACAAAAATTTCAATTCTCTGATAAAATTTTCCAACATTTTTTCCTTAATTATAGTAATCACCTTTTTAAATCCTTGTTTGAAAAGTTTAATATCTGATTGAACTATGTTTATTTCTATTAGTTTTCAGACATTTAACCTATTTTTTTAATATACTTTGTGAATTTTAAAAATTTAATACTGGATGTTGTGGATGAAAATTTTAAAGGGTGTGGATAATGCTCTAACATGTCAGATTTTCTTCAAGTAAGGCAGAAACAATCACTTTGACTTATCAAGATTGGTTTTGAGGTTTATTAGGGGTAACCAATTTTTATTTTTCCTTTCTTCTAGAACATCATCCTTATTCTTAAGGCACAGATCATTCAGATCTTCATCTGCAACCTCAATATGTTTACCAAGGCCCATAAACTTTGGCTCAAGCTTGGACTCCAATAACTGTCTGCTATGCAACTAAAAACCTATGCTTAGTTTTTTAGGCTCTCAGCTGATGTTCACTGTGTTTCTTAGAGCCTTTTCTTGCACATGCACAGCTTAGAAACCAGCTAACACCCTTAAAGCAGTTTGTGTGCAGATATTTGGATTCATTTCCATTCTCTTTGAGATTTTGCCCCTCATGTTCCAGATATATTGGCAGCTCTGAATTTTTTTTTCTTTTTTTTTTTTTCCCTCTTTCATGGCAGCTCTGAAGACTTATCGCTATCTCCTTAATTCATGAATACTACCACTTTCTACTGATGCTCTAGTCTCCCAATATCACAAATGCCCTCAGGCAAAAGCCAAGGTAAATGTGGAACTAATTCATGAGTTTACATCATTTTAAGCATTATAGCCACTGAAGTCATGCCTACAAATGGTTACTCTCTAGTACCTATAGTAGCTTTTTATACATTTTGGGTATCTTTAATAGTTTTTTAGAGAAAGGGTTTGTCTGATAGAAGCTACTCAGTCAATCATAACCAGAAGTCATCAGGTTATTTTAAAATCTGTATCTTATAATTCTAATAACTGGAACTTCTTTGGCTATATTTCTACTACTTTCTGTTTCTGCTAGCTTTTATTTACTCTAATTTTCTTTTTGTATGCCTGGTGATTGTGAATTCTGCACTATAATTTAAATTTGTGAAATTGTTTATAGGAACAATGTGAGGCTTAGGATGAGGAAATCTTTCTGTAAAGGTGATTTTCATTTATTTCTGCTAGGTAACTAAGGTCAAAGAACTTAGAACAGCATCTGGCACAGGCAAGTCATTAACTCTCATTATTTCATGCCTATATACCCCAACCAGATTAAGAATATTCTATCTTCTGTGTTCCCAACATCCATATAAAATTTGGTTTATAGTCAGTACTTTAAAAATAACTGCTGAGTAAATGTCTTAAGGAACTGAAAATGAGATCTATATGTGAATCACATACATACATAAAAGACAAAATCAAATTCTTTTTTATAGAGAGATTATCTTACAGTTTTTAGAATAATAATGCAAAGCTAGCATTTACCTTCATGTTGGATTGACTTGTGTTTCCTTGAGGCATTTTCATCTGTTACCTGACTTTCTAGAAAAAAGAAATAATGGGGTAACTTTTGGATATTGTGAAAATTCACTTTGAGGGTGTTATGATTTCATTATACTCTTATGTTCATTTTTTAATGAATTGAGATTATTCATGGAAATGTACCCATGAAAGCATCCATCACTGGCATTCTGCTTCTGCAGTTCATCTAGATCACCTTCTAAATGATTGTTCATTCTCATCCCTCCTTTATATTAGCTTTTATGATTTGGAACTCCCTTATCCATTTCCACCACCACTACCTGAGTGGAGTACCCAGTGTGGCCCTAGCATATTTACAAGGTTAGGACATCTGTTACTGCATACTGGCTCATATATTAAATGTATAGGCAAAAATTCCCACCCTTCCACCTTATAAACCCATTAAGGGAGCACAATTTGCGTACTTTCTCATTTCTTTTTTCTACTTGTCCCCAATCAATTTTAGGTTGGAGTACCTATCATAGATTGTTTTTGAGGTTTCCTCTGCATTTTTGCTGCTGGTATGGTCATGAAACCTGAAAAAGTAGTCATTTTTAGGACCGCTGTACGTTTACGTTGGCGACTTTGATACCAGTTTCTTTCCAGTTTAGCAGGTATAGTTTTTAATGGAGGAGTTGGCACTGGTGCACCTGTATATGCCAGAGGCGGCTTAAAAGCATCAGTCATATCTGCTGATAAATGATACTGAGAATGAACTTCCTTGTGTTTGGGAGAGGTGATTAGGGAAGAAACTTTTGAAGATTTGGGTGTATCTGAAGAGAAAACCAACAAGTTCATTAACACATTCTTCACAGAAATACTTTTTATTTTTGATGGCTCTTCTTTTGATTTTTTTGGACTTGTCTCTTGTCTTGTTCTTTGCCTAAAATGTTTAGGTGAAGTTGAATGAATAGCTGGGGGAAATATAGTAGTAATAGCAGCGGTTGTAGGAGTAGCAGTAGGAGTAGTAGTAGTAGCAACAGTAGTAGTAGTCTTTGGAAAGTACCAGGAGACCTTCTTAGACTTTTTGGGTACTGAAATAGTAGTCATTCTTTCTTGCACATGATAATCAAGAAGGATATTTTGGATATTGACAGGGGATCGTGACTGATTTCTTGACACACCATCAAGAAAATGACTTTTATCCCTTTCAGTGGAAGTGGTTTCATCATGAATGATCTCTACATGTGGTGGTTTAATTTCACTTGTCTTGGCTAAACCAGAAAAAGAACAAAAGATTAGATTATATTTATCCAGGTATCAGAGACAACGTAATTTGTTTTGTCTTAATTAATATTAGTGAATTTAATTAATATTAATGAACCTTAATATTAAATGTTAATTAGCATTCACAGCTTATTTTTACCCTTTCATATTATAAAAACATTTCTGTATATACATTTTCAGCTATTGAGGCTTGTTTAGCTGACTGACTGAGGTTAACTTTGAGTGAACAACTGGAGAAGTAAAAAAAGGCTAAACTGTATTAGATATAGAAAGCATAAAGAGCTACTTTTAGAAGAATGGAATTCAAGGACCAAAGGGTAGGCTATAAGGCAGATTTTTGAGCAGTTGCCATTAAAACTCTGGCAATATGGATGAGTATCAATGATTTTGTCGAATTTTTCTATTTTTTTATCATTTATTACGTCCTCATTTAAAAGTTCTTTGAGCAAAGGTTTTCCTTTCTCCCTCCTTCCTTCCCTTCTTTCTTCTTTCCCTTTCTCTCCCTTCCATTCTTCTCTCCTATTTTTAAAGGATGGTTTATTAGGAAAAGGACAAAGAAAAAGAGAGACACTTGTATAGTAACAGTGGGCAGGAGAGCTGCCTTTTGCCAGTGCAGAAATTATACTAATATCTACATTTCTTTTCAATGTCAGATATTGGAACAATGTGTCTTTTCAGCATAATATTCTTTTTTTTTTTAAAAGATTTATTTATTTATTTATACAAGCACTGGGTACAGTCAGAAGCGCGGGAGGATGAGAGAATTCACCAAAGCCAGAGCAGGGAGCAGAACAGGCAGACAGATGAAATATACTGCTGAGGGGAGCAGCGGACGCAGCAGGAGAGGTCTGTCACGCCATGTGGGACCCTCACCAGCGTTTCGCTGCCCAGCGCTCAACTGCTGCGCCACCAGGGGAGGCCCATCAGCATAATATTCTTACACTGGTAGGAAGGTACAAGTTCATTTAGGATAGATCAATAAGTATTATTTCCTCTTTTATCTCCAGAAAATGCCCTGCTTTCTTTGGTACCTCTCTCTACATCAAATATACTTTCTCTTTCTTATGCAACATAATGTTACAGACTTTTTCTGTTGTCTCAGTTGAGTATCATAAATGATAAGGACTTCTGCTTTCTAATAAGGAAAAACTATTCATTAGGCAAAACTTGCAGAGAGACAACCAAAAGAAGTCCAGCTTTCCCACCTGTTGTCTCTAAATGAGAAGGCTAGAGATTGATTTGGATTCAGAAAGTTTTCCTCTGAATAGGGCTATTGGAGTGTTATGTGTTTCTTTCTCCCACCCCCTGCATGGTTGCTAAAATGGAATATTTTCCCCACTTTAACCCATGTGAGGGAAATTTTCAGATAACCATTTATAGAAAATAGAAGTCTATACTAGAAGGAGAAAACAGCATCACATTATTGCCCTGGCCACATTCCCTCACTGGCACTTACAGATGTATTAGCCCACCCAGTACTAAAAAAAATTCTTGAAATTTCATGACCTGTATTTCTGTATTTCAGGGGGTACAGACGTGGATTTCCTAGCCCACCTTGTTCTCAGGATGTTGTCTTGGTGCCCAATGTTCCTGTTGGTCAAGCTAAAATGTAGTCAGGAAGGGGGCCTTTTACCATGACAAAAGTCTTGGTATAAGGAACATACTGGAAAAACCAGTATCTGCTGAAGAAGGCAGATATTATGGCTAGATTTGCATAACCAGCTAGACCACCTTAACAGAAAGTTAAGTATAAACAGGAACTAGAGATAGGATGTTTTGATCAGAAGCAACAATGGACGCCCCCCCAGGCAACAGCCCCTATTCACTCCCCCCAAGCTTGTGCCCGACATTTATGTATCGCTAATACACATCCCCACCATTATGCACCCCCAGTCCACATCCCCACCACACACATTCCTCCACATACTTTCCCACCTTCCCTGAAACTGATTTCCAATAAATATGAGACTGTCCTGGGAATAGGCACTGCATCTCCAGAGGTGTAAGCCCCCTAGATCTTTCTCTCTCTCTCTCTCTCTCTCTCTCTCTCTCTCTCTCTCTCACTCTCTCTGCTTGGACTTTGAGTTGTCTTTCCTCCATCCTGTGCTGCTCCCAATGCTGCTGCCCCACAAGGCAGCATACAGAGATTGATGTTCGGTTCTTGCCTTAACTCTTTAAGTCCTCCCCACTCCTAACTCCACCATTGGAGAAGCCAGAAACTGTGATTTGGGGAAGAGAAGTGAAAGAACAATATGGAAGAATTATCATGCCCCCTCCCACCCCCCTTTTTTTTGTCTAAAAATTAGCAGGATAGTCTGAGCTGGAAGGAGCATGGTTGACTGAAAACTACATCGAAGTATTGATACAGATTTTTTAACATTTGAAAATGAGACAAAGTTAAAAGAGAAAAGTAATAGCAAGGTCTTGAGAGAGAGATGTGTGTGTCACATGAATCTGAAAGGCAAGTAGAAGAATAATGTTTTCTTCCTGCTTATATGGAATTAATCAAAGTTAACTCATTCAGTAAAATAGTTCCTTCTATCTTCAACTGCATTTCCTATCTTTCCTATATTAAAACAAAACAATAACATGAGCAAAAACTTCAACGTACTCCAGAACACCTTCCAATCACCACTATTCCACCAGTTATCTTTTCTTCAATGGCAAATTGAATTTAACCTCATCATTTGACTTTCTCTCCTCTCATCTTTATTATTTCACTTTTTTTATTAAATTAGTAGACTATTTTTAGATCCACTTTTCAATCTATAAAAACAAATAAACAAGACTGTATAGTTACCATATATCCTCCACCTACACAGTTTCATCTATTAACAGATTGCATTAGCAGTGCACATTTATTACAATTAATGAACCAATGATACATGATTAATTAAATCTCATAATTTACATTAGGGTTCACTCTGTGTTGTACAGTTCAATAGGTTTGAACAAAGCATAATGTCATGCAAATAACTGTATCACCCGAAAAATCCCCTAGGCCTCACCTATTTATCCCTTTCCCTCTCCCCGAACCTCTCCCAACCATTGATTTTTTTTACGGTCTGTATAGTTTTCCTTTTTTCAGGAAACCGCATTTGGAATACCAAAGAATGTTGCCTTTTCAGACTGACCTCTTTCACTTAGCAATATGCTGTTAAATTTCCTCCATGTTTTTGATAATGATTTTTAGTTTATTTTTCCTTATCACTAAGTAAAATTCCATTGTGTGGATGTGCCAGTTTGTTTGTCCTTTTGGCTACTGAATTGCTCTCAGTTTCTTGTATGAATAAATATGATACAAATACTCATTTGCAGACTTTTGTGGGGACATAAGTTTTCACCTCAATTGGGTAAATATCCAGGAGTGTGATAACTGGATTTTATGGTTAAGTGTATGTTTAGCTTTGTACAAAACTGCCACACTGTTTTCAAAAGAAGCTGTACCATTTCGCGTTCACACCAGCAATTAATTAGAGTTCCTCTTACTCTTCTGAAGTATCTGGTATTGTCAGTGTTTTGGATTAGCTATTCTAATGAATCTGCCATGGTATATGGCATATCATTATTATTTTAATTTTTTCATGTTTATTTGCCTTCTGAATCTCTTGCTTTCATGAGGTACCTTTCAGATCTTTAGACCAATTTTCAGTGGGATTGTGTTCTTATAATTGAGCTTAAGAGTATTTTAGATGCGAGTCCTTTATCAGATACGTATTTTTCAAATATTTTCTCCCAGTATGTCACTTGCCTTCTCATTTTTTTAACAATGTCTTTCACAGAGCTGAAGTTTTTAATTTTCATTAAGTCTAACATCATTTTTTTCTTTCATGGATTTTTTTTCCCTTAATGTCATATCTAAAAACTTATCACCCAATCCAAGATTTTGGAGAAAACCTAGATTTTCTCCATTGTGATATTAGAGTTTTTATAGTTTGCATTTGTAAACTATATCAATATTTTGTGTTAATTTTTGTTAAAGGTGTGAGATCTGGTGTAATTTTTTTTTTTTTTCCGCAAGTGGATGCCCAGGTGTTCCGGTATGATTTGCTGAGAAGATTGTCCATTATCCATTACTCTCCTTTTCTTTTTTTTAAAGATTTCTTTATTTATTTATACAAGAACCAGGGTACAGGCCAGATGCGCAGGCGGGTGAGAGTATTCACCAGAGACAGAACGAGGAACAGAACAGGCAGAAGGACGAAATGCACTCCTGAGGGGAGCAGCAGGTGCAACAGGAGAGGTCTGCTGTGCCACCTGGGACCCTTGCCTGCTGGCCGGCCGGTTGGGATCAAACTGGCACTGCAGAGACTGCGGACAGCTTCACAGCATAGCACTCAACCTCCTTCGCCACCAGAGGAGGCCCTACTCTCCTTTTCTTTAGGTAGAGTTTATGACCTATGTTATTTTCTTTTTTTAGCTTAAATAACTTTTGAGGGCCTCCCTCATGGCGCAAGGGTTCAAGTCTCAATGCTATCAAGCCGTTGCCCGCTACTGAGGCATGAGTTCGATCCCCTGCCATAGAGCAAACCACATGGCACAGCGGACCTCTCCTGTCTCACCCACTGCTCCCCTCAGCAGTGTATTTCAGTAGATCTGCCTATTCTGCTCCCCACTCTGTCTCTGGTGAATCCTCTCACCCCCAACACCTCTGGCCTGTACTCCAGTTCTTGTATGCATAAATAAAAATAATCTTTAAAAAAAAAAATAAAAGAACTTTTGAAAAGGTAGGTCTAATAGCAACAAATTCCCACAGTTTTTGTTTGTCTAAGAAAGTCTATATTTCTCTTTCACTTTGGAAGGATAATTTCACTAGACACAATTTCTAGCTAAGTGGGTTTTATTGCTTTCAACACTTACAATATTTTATTTTGGCTCTTTTTGCATGGTTTCCCATAAGAAATCTGAAATAATTCTTACCTTTTCCCTCTGTGTTCTCTCCTATCCTCCTATCTTCTATCTTTTCTTTAGTTGTATGCAGTGTGAATATATATATATATATATACACACACACAGTAAATACATAAAATAAACATATATCCTGGTAGATATATTCCCTGAGCTTCCTATGTTTTAGTCATTAATTTTGCAAAATTCTCAGCCATTACTACGTCAAATTTTTTCATTGTTATTTCATCTCTTCATTATTTCATCTTCTCTAGTATTCCCCATTACATGTTATACCTTTGTAATTTTCCCATGGTCTTGAGTATTCTGTTCTTTTTGCTTGTTTCTTTATTCTTTTTATAGCTTTCACTTCAGTCTGAGAATTTTCTATTGTCCTGTCTTGAAACTCCATAGTGTTTGCTCAGTCCAGGCTACAGATGAGTCTATAACAGACACTTTTTACTTCTATTACAGTGGTTTTTATTCCTAGAATTTCCTTTTGATGTTTCTTAGAGATTTCATATCCCTGCTTGCATTACTCTTCTGTTCTTGAATGCTTTCTCTTTTCCCATAAAGGCTCTTAACATATCATAGTTATTTTCAATTCCCATAATTCCAGTATGTGTGTCATAGCTAAGTGTGGTTCTGATACTTGGTTTTGTTTTTTTTTTTTCTTCTTCAGTCTGTATTTTCTCTAGTCTTTAAGCATACTTTGTAATTTTTTGTTGAAAGCTGGGCATCATGTATCATGTAATGGAACTGAAGTAGTTGCTTAAGTTTCCTTATTATTTTTTCTCCTCTCTTTGGGCTTCCCTAAAAAAATCCTTAAATCAGGTCTGCATCTTATGTCTCTCTGATTTAATGCACTTATTATATTGGAGCTTGCTGAAGTAATACGGTATTGGGGAAAGGAACTATTCTATAATCTTGTGATTAAATATGATTTTTAGTGGCCTGATTCCCTGGGTTATAACTTTCAAAAGTATTTCTAAGTCTTTTCCTTCTCCGACATGAAACAGAATGGCTACAGGGTCTACAGTTGACTAATTTACTCTTCCTGAAGATCAAATGACTCTCAGGTAACCTAACTTCCTCTAGAAGACAGGACTTTTTAATTGAGAATACTTTGGGGGTGTTTAAAAATGGTTATTCTTACTCCTCCTGGAGGAAAAATCAGCAATTTTTTTCTCTGATATTCATGAGAAATTGGTGTGACTTCTGAGGGTAAGACCCACCACAGTGTAAAGGCCCCCATAAGATTGGATTCTCCTGAGTTTTTAATTCTCAAGTTAGTCCATACTCAACATCCAGCAGATTGTCAAAATTAGCAATTAAATGACTCAGGCATCCATCTTCTTATCACAAAATATCTACTCTTATTCTATACATTTGCCTGTTTCTCCAGATTTCAGTGTGGTAATTTTCTGTCACCTGAATTCTCTGATGGATCTGAGAAGACTCATTGAGTATCAGTTTGTTCACTTTTTTTCTTGTTAAGTGACTACCCTTTATATTTTCAAGCTGAAACCAGAAGTCTTCTCATATTATCTTTTAAATCATTGTGACCTGGAATTTATCACCTCTGCTACTGTTACCACAGAATTCTTACTGATATCTTATTACTAAGTCCATTGATACATAACATTACTTATGTTTATATGACAGCCTCTTAGCATATAATATTTATATCCACTCTCCTATTTAGAATATTCACTCTGCCTTGGGCTCCCATAACACTATTCTAATTTCTCCATTTCTACCTCTCTGGCAATTTATCTTTCCTTTCTAGGCAAATCTTTCTTTTTCCTAAGAGTCTATCATCATTCCTCTTCTCTTAACTCATTTTCCTTCTACCATAACTATTCTAAAATTTGGCTTTTAACATTTAAAGATTATCATGCCCAAAACAAACTCATCAGCAGCTTCTACATCCATTTTCTCATAAAGATACAGCTGCAATCAAGTCATACAGTTACACAGAGATATGTACACACACATACACACATGCACACTTACTTGATTCCTCCTAAATTAGTTTTCAGTGACTGCTGTAACAAATTTCCACAAACTGAACTTAAAACAACAGAAGTGTATTTTTTTGTAACATTAGTGGTGGATCTCAGACCTGAATTCACATCTCTTGAACTCCCTACCTAGGGCATTTTGCATTGTTCCAGGTTGCTTCAAGTCAGTAAACACTTGCCAGTCAAGTGAGAAGTGTTACACTTTTAACAGTTTACAGCTAAACCCTGGTTTCATAGTCTATAAGGTGCTTTCACCAGGCTATTACATTTTAACCTTTGTATAGTTAAGTGGTCAAAAAAAAATCCCAGATTTTTTCTTCTGATTCTTATTACCATCATCCTAGTCTACATCAGCTTAACCTTCCCCTTGATTTTCTGACATAGCTTTCTGAAATTTCATCAAATTATCTGAATTTTATGAATGATAATTCAGATTTCTTGGTTTGGTATATAAAAATCTTTCTGAACTGAATCCACTTCCCCTCACCTATCTGTGTGATGACTCATGAATTTCCAATGAGAACACAGTAGGTAAGATACTCCAATTATTATTGACAATCACGAAGGCCAAATGCTTATTTGTAACTTCATTTCTTATGTCACACTGTGAAATGCCTTCTCTTACTAACCAATTTAAATCATTTTCTTCTTTTGCAGACTACCTTACACATTATGCAATCCCTCTTTATTAAAATGACCCATACTTTTGTTCTAGCTCATTAAGTCAACAAATATTCAATACCAAGTGCTAGCTATACTCATAGTCCTGCAGTTTTATAACCACACAGCACAAAACTTACTACCTGCAAATATCTCACAACTTGGTATATAGAAACGAGGAAGGCAAACAGTTGTACTAGAGAATGATAAATGCTCTGTTGGGGAGAAGTGTGCAGATATGATAGTACAAAGTATGTCATTCTGACTGGGTGAAGAAGGAAAAGGTGCTTAATCCTTTTTCAAATAAGGAAACAGATCCAAAGAAAAGGATCACTTATGATCATAGAAAATTGATGGTAGAGCTGAGATCAGGTCTCTCAAATCCCTGGTTTCTCTACTTTTCCTTAGAAGAAACGGCCCCACTTCTCCCTCTTCCAGTTTTATGAAAACTTTATGGCAGCTTCAGTATCTCTAATACTGAAGATCCTGAATTTTCTATCAACGCTTTATCATTTAACCCTAATTTTACAGGTTTTGTGATCACATCTGTTGTTACAGGGATTTTAGCCACAGTTGATTGTTGTCTTACTATAAATTCAGTAACTTTAAATATTAATGTGTTCATTCAACAAATATCTGAATATTAACTATGTCTAAAGTACTCTGCCAAGAGCCTTTAAAGACATAGGATTAATAATAGTAAATATCATATATACTCCCAGATACCAAAAGTAGCAGAGCTCCCCACAAAAAAAAGGATTACCCAGTCCAAAATGTCATTAGTGAAAAACTGTAATAGAAGATAGACTTCAACTAAAAGATGAATGAAAAAAACAACAATGGAAGACTCTATAGTGAGCAGCATGTCTACATAACTGTGGGCATTATTATTATTACCACAGAATAAATTGTAAATATAAAAACATACACCATTATAGGAATGTAGAAATAACAAAAATTGATAGGGAAAGTAGGAGAGGAAAATTAGAAGTAGTACAGGTATGTTGATATACACATCTCTAATAGCCAGGGATCGAAAGGTATTAAGTTAATATTATAAATCAACTTTTAGGCTAAGCATATTTTCGCAGTATAAATACTGACAATGAAGTAATTAATACAATCAACTAAAGATAAGTGGTAGAGGAGCCTGAAACGCGGAAGAAATATTCTAACTTTGTCATCACTTATAATTAAGAAGTAAATAGCATATACAGAAATAGGGGATTAAAGGTATTAGGTAAAGTTATAGAAGTGGCTCACTTTTACTTCATTTCTACATGTATCAGAGGGTAATTTTATATTGTTATATATTTGATCCCACTAGCAGGTAATTAAGAAGAGTGGCAGGGTCTGTTTTCTTCACTATTATGTCCTCAGTTCCTAAGCATTGTGTTCATGAATACAGTCAACTCATGGTAGCTCTGTTCTATAAAGTCTAACACGTTGTCTAACACTGAGCCACTGATTCTAGGGAAAATACAGTTAGGTTCCTGCAAAGCCTCTGGTCTCAACATTGTCATCAGCTAATCCATACATGTTTTACCTGTATTCCTATTTAAAAGACACCTTATTTAACATATATTGCTGATTCAACATTGAACAAATGGCCATCAATACTGTAATTCATGCCTGAGGGAAGATTATCTAATGTAGGTACTTTTTCTGTTAGGCACAATCACAGCCTTCTTTTGCTTAGGAATGCAAGAGAGCACATCAGCACTATGCTTGGGGGCCATTTTATATAGTGAAATCAGCAGCAGAAAGTACATTCAAAAAACATGGTACCAAATACACAAGGAAAAGGGCAGTTGTTTGCAGTATGAGAGCTGAAATAACACGTTGGGTATCTTTGACCTCAGCTGAGAACGTGTTTTCACTGTTCTGGGAATACGTCCATGATCCATCCAGAATTACCAAAATACTCCTTTCCTGCACATAATTTCAATTTACTACAAAAGGAGTGAGAGAGAGGTCTATGTACTGCTCTGAAGTATGCTTCATAATATGCTGTTGAGTTAGAAAGATAGATACAGCATGATGTACTGATTTCGGGGTTACAAAAAATTTAATAATTTAATATATTTACACCCACAGAATCCACAGAGGAGGATTGACTATAGAATTGAACTGGAATGTTATATCCCCTTACAACAGCTATTTTTAAGTTACTTGTTATTAGTAAAATTAGTGAAAGACTAAAATTAGTTCTTATTATGATGCTAAGCTGCACACATTGAGGAATTTCTATGAAAAAGAAAGTTAATTACGTATCTGATTAACATACCTTTATAAACTCGCTTTGGAATGTACAAATGCAGTTTAGGGAGTTTTGGAGGTAAAGGTCTTCGAAGAAGTGGTGGGTAGCTTTGCATTTTAATTAATTAAAAGCACTGTTTTGACAACTGTTGGTTAAATGACAGTTGAAAAGTTTTTGAATATATTTGATTTGTTGCTGAAAAAGAATTCATTGAAACTAGATTACACTTTAATGAAAATCACTGTTATACTATAATGAGCCTAAATAGAATTCCTATAAAAAAAGACTGTACAAGACTAATTCTTTAAGATTTCTAGAAAGAATCTAGATAAAATTTAGTTTTATAACTAATGCAAATTTTTAGAATACATATACCATAAGCAGTCAGGTTAACTCTGAAATTTCCCCATGTTAGCAAACAATAGTCTGGAAATAGAAAATCAGCTAGTAAACTGATTTTCCAGAACAGAAGAAATGATACTCACTTTTTTTCCTTTAAAATGTTAAAAGTAAAAACTATGAAAAAAGGTTTTTGGTCAAAACAATGAAGTTTCCTCCCTGCTAGCCTCTGAATCACACATTATCTAACCCATTAACAGTTTTCTTTCTGTAACAATAATTTATTTTAAATCCCAAGCACTATATTCAGCTTTAACTAATCCAAAATTAAGATGGACTTCAATATAATGAGATTTTCCAGAGTCGCTGTCCCAATTAATACTTTTGGAAATGATGCCAGTAGAGAGACCCAAAATTATGTGTTTGGTTTGCAGGTCAAACATCAAAGTGGCTGGCACATCACGATTCCACTGACAGCCTCGACCCGGATGCTTTGGAGCTGTTCAAACGGACCGATTCATCCTCAGAAGGTAACTTTGCGCTCAAGGTACTCTCCCTGCTGTGTACCACTTGATGCCGGTAATTTTCCTTCCCTACGCGCCGAAGAGACGCCCAGAAACGTACTCCTACGCTCTCTGGGGCAGTCAGCTGCATCTCAAGATAGCCCAAATTTCGTCTTTTTTCTCCTTTCCCTTGGAATTTAGGCAGGTAGGTAACGGTAAAGTGAGGTCGCGAGTGTTCCCGCGGGATGCTGTTTGGAAAGAAAACCTCCAGGCGACCCCTTCCCACCCGCACCCCCGCGCCCCCTAACCCTGGGGACAGTGCGGCCGGGGGCCAGAGTCGGGCCCCAGCACCCGGAAGCCCAAAGCCCCGCCCGCCCGCTGTGCGCGGCGCCGGAGGGGCGGGGCCCGCGCTGGCGGGAGGGCAGGTGAGCGGCCCGCGGCCGGGGGAGGGCGGGGCGCGGGCCCGCGGAGCTGCGCGGAGGGTCCCCGCCCCACGGCGCGGCGCCCACTCGCCTCTCTCGGCTGCCGAGTGGGCTGCCCGGGAGGCTGCGGGCGGTGGGGCTGGAGGAGAAGCCCGCTCCTTGCGCAGCAGCTGTGTGGAACCCGGTGGTGACAATCGTTTTTACTCTTCTTGTTGTTAAAGACAATTACCATTGTTAGTTACTTACTTTTCTCGATTTCACGTACGTCTAGGGTCGGGACTGGCATTCTTTAATCATGCACTTTTGCGGTACCGGGTCCCTTGCCAATTTTGCAGTGCCGGGTAAAAGGGAACATTCTGTTTTCTTTCTCTTCCTTTAATGCAACCTGTTTTTACTTACTGATCCTTTAAAGTTCCTGGTTGAAAGGGAATTGTGTAGGACTAGGGGCATTTTAAGAATCCAAGTGGGTTTTTTAATAAACCCATTTCTCACTGCCTTCTAGGCATGTGTTCTGATTATCGCGTTGTAATTTGTTTCATAATGTTGATGAACCTGCATGAAAATACAGTGACCGATGCATCGCTTGTTTTTGCTTATATGTGTATGTTTCTCTGTAGATTTCAGGAGAAAGCATGTTAGAGAACTCAGGTGGATGTGTCAATCCTGACTCAAAGTAGATGAAAATTCCTTACCGTCTTGTGGGGTTTTGTTTGTTTTTAAAGTACAACTGTAGGAACTTTAGTAACAGGTGTTGGAGGATACAAGACTTGAGTATAAATTTTTCTAGCATTTGAGATTGTTAAGGGTATCTCCCAAACCGAGTTTCCCCTTATTTTCCTTAGGAGCAAGCATGTATTTTAAAACAGTCCGCGAAAAAGTGGAAAAGTAAAAAAGTATTTTTTCAGACTGGAAAATATCTTGAACCTTGTTTTCTTTTAGAGTGTTGGCATGTGGTTACTTTTCCTGGTAAGATTACTGTGTCTTTATTAGACTGCCACCCAAGAACACGAATCTTCTATTTTTTTTTTACTTTTGCCTATATCTACTTCATAGCTTCTCAGAAAGACAGGAAAACTGACCACAAATATCAGATCTGGTTGCTAGGTTTCATGTAAGTAATATTTGTTCTGCATATTTTGTAAGTGTAAAAAATATATTCTTGATCATAAAAAATGTTCAGTTTCCAATAGATAAATTGAATTAGAGTCCTGTACTCTTAAAAGCAGTTTGAACTATGACTGCTGGGATTCAACTAAATCAATGCTTGACTTTTAAATTTTATGCTTAGTATTGCATAGTCAAAATCAAGAAAATGTGCTTAATATATTTATTTTTAAATGTTTTGTCTTGGAATCAGACATCAGGCTTCCCTACAGATTTCTTTTAGCAAGTATCAGGCAAAACATGTTTAATACATAAAATCCTTAGGTATGAATAGTGTGTCTTCTAATACTGCTATAATGAGATAGTCCTGAAAATTAAATCCATGACTTGGTGTATTTTATCAGTTATGCTAATATACCGTACATGCTTCATCTATGGAGAAGATATACAGAAGTAGGCTGGATTTTATTTTTTATTTATTTATTTATTTATTTATTTTTAATAGAGGCATGCTTTATTTATTTGTTTGCTGGTTTGTTTGTTTGTTTTGTTTATACATGCACTGGGTACAGTCAGAAGCGCGGGAGGGTGAGAGAATTCACCAGAGCCAGAGCGGGGAGCAGAGCAGGCAGAAGGACCGAAGTACACTGCTGAGGGGAGCAGCGGGCGGCAGGAGAGGTCTGCACGCCATGTGGGACCCTCCTCCAGTGGCCGGGGAGGAGCCGGGGATCGAACCGGCCGCAGAGGCCGCGGGCAGCTTCGCAACCCAGCGCTCAACCGCTGCGACACCGGGGAGGCCCAGTAGGCTGGATTTTAAAAGCACAAATCACATTTGATGTGGATTATTTTTCATTTCGGAAAATATTGCTGCTTGAATTTCCTTTTTAAAAAATAATTATGTCACTTTAAATAATAAAGCTCCCTTTCTGAATTTAAAGGTTGGTTTCACCTAATGTATGGTACAGTCAGTACCTATTTATTTGTCCCATCAACTTTGTAATTTGGCAGAACCCTGTAAAGAAGCTTGTCAAACTGAACCATAATGCTTATGCTGTATTAAGGAAGTCGGGGTAATGGTGAATGCCAAGGTTATGTACATCCTGTGCTGTTTGGTTTTTTTTTTTTTAAATGTTGCTAAAATGAGATAAAAGCCTTATGCGAAAACATCTCTAGGCACAGCAGGTAATGCTATTGATTTTTCTAATGAATGGGGAATGCTTAGGGACTCTCAGATTTGCTGTTGTGAGAGGACATGTCTGTTGTAATGATGTATAAGTTACTAGAAATCTTAACTATTTTCCACATACCCCTCTCCTCTTCTTTACTAATCCGTTTATCTGTTTTCCTTTTAAACAGGACAGAAGTTTACTAAACAGATTGGTCAGTGTAGATTTAATCTAACATTTTCCCTTAAGAAAATAACTGGAGAAATGTATGTTTTTAATGCTCTTATTAGTTTTTAGAAGTTCTTTTTTAAAAAATGAATAGTTATTTTTGAGAACACATTGGGTAAACTGTTCAGACCCCTACAGCACCCAGGGCACTAACATACTTCTGAGAAAAGTATTTTCTTGGCTTGACTTTATCTGATCATTAAATCATGTATGCTTGGAAATATCTTAACTCTTCACCAATCGGTGACTTGAAGGTATACATTTATTTCACATGATTTTACACTGTGGCGTAGAGAACAGTTTTATATTTCCTTCCATGTTAATAAAGATATTTTGAGGAAGCTTCTTTTCTTTTTTTCCCTCATTTCTTACTGCAAAGACAAAAACTTCATTCCTTCTATTTTTTGGCCAGTTATTTTTATCTTTCAGTTGGATAGTAATTTCCTTTCTTCTTTTTGAACTAGAGATTAAGCCTGGAATTCCTTTCAAAAATGTCGTTACTAAGGAGAAAATGTCATGCAACCTGTAATAATTTTTTTTTAATTCACAAACATAATGAAAGATCATATTTGTAAAGGTATATTCATGAGTTCAGTCATTCCAGAGAGAGCTATTGGAAGCCACCTATGTCTAAGGCAGTTGGTAGATACTAAACTTTAAACTTTACTAAGACAACTTAACAGTGATCCATTTGAGGCTTTACAATTTTAGACATTGAGATTAAATTTTAAATCATTTTCAAAGGATTTACCTATCTGTATTTATAACTACTTAGTTTAAGAAAATTTTTTTTAATTTTATTTTTTTAAAGATTTATGTATTTATACATATAAGAACTGGGGTACAGGCCAGAGTTCTGGGGGGTGAGAGGATTCACCAGAGACAGAGTGGGGAGCAGAACAGGCAGAACTACTGAAATACAGTCTCCTCTCAGACTGTCAAAAAAATGCTCTGCTCTAGTATGGTCCTACATTCTCTCACTGATCCTTATACACACCCTGGTCTGCACAGGAACTTTGAGACAGCTCATACCTGAGAGAGTCCAAATACAGTGATCTAAGGAGACCTTGACTCGTCTTCCAGGTAAGTGGAGTCCACAGCTGCTATTAGCACTGACTGAGCTGGACTGAATCCATGATGAATTTCAGTCAGTTCCCAAGTATGAAAGCTGCATTGTTCTCAGTGTCCTTCAGACCAGCTGGTGAACCTAACAAAGTTTGTGGAAAAAGCAAAAGGGGCTAGCAACGCCAGCTGCTTTGTATGGCAAGAGGAAAAGGTGCTCCAAAAGCACATGATCTTTCTCAAGCTTTTTCTAATGTGCACAACACATTTGGGAAGATTAACCGACTGAGTCCTTGGCACTGGTAGAGAGTTAGTCTTAAACTTACAAGGTATGTGTGCCATGTCATTAAGGTATATGAGCGGCATGCTTTCTATCCAGTCCTCCAAAAAGACCTGTAGTATTTAGAACCATAGGTAAGCAGAAGTATTTTCTAATGACTTACTCTTCATTCTAAGACAGATAGCAATTTATGACCATAAACAGTAAATATAATGGATTTGATCTTCAAACCTGTCATTCTGCCTTATCCTCATTGTTCAGATTGTTTTATTCTTATAGGTAATGAGGATAAAATATGTGTAGGGGCTGAGGGTGTGAAAGAGCAGCGATTTCCTGGACATGTAATTGTATTCACTATATTGATGAAGAACTTGTATTTCTGATACCACAGCTGGACAAATAGAAATATAATTTATGCTTCAGTATCTCACAGATAATATAGCATAGTTTTGATAATTCTTTTTTTTAAAGACTGATTTATTTATGCATACAAGTACTGGGGTGTAGACCAGAGGTGTAGAGGGTGAGAGGATTCACCAGAGAGAGTGGGAAGCAGAACAGGCAGATCTACTGAAATATACTGCTGAGGGGAGCAGCAGGTGAGACAGGGAAGGTCTGTTGTGCCATGTCAGGTAGCAACCTGGCAAGGGATCAGGGATGGAATTCTGCTGCAGTGGCTGGTGCTAGCTTGATACCGCTGTGTCTTTAACCCCTGCACCACCAGGGAGGCCCAGTTTTGACAATTCTTCAAGATTTACAATTGCAATCCCCTACCTTTGTTTGATGTCCCAGATTTTATCAGGGTTGAAATTAGTAAATTTCAGGACATTGCTCCATTCCTTCTACCTGTCCCAGGTAGCTACCTGTCTTGGAGGTTTGGAGAAAGTTCCTCCCTTTCCTCTGCCAGTTATTCCATACAAATTAATATCCTCCAGTGGAAGAGGAGCGGTGTCCAGTTCTATTCAGTAGCCATGGGAAGAATAGATTATGGGGCTTTGCTCTTCTCTTCACTGAAGTTCCGAGCAACGTTTGACATATTAATAAGGCTCTGTGACT